TTTCCCTCCTAGCTCCGTGGCAAATAAACTTGGCTAAACCTGGTTCTTTAATACAGCTGGTGAGATCTAGAGCATAACTGCAATATTTGTCCCTCTAAAAATAACTAGGATTGCAGCTTTTAAGTCTGTTTTCCTCCCTGCCTGCAAAATCTCATAACTTGCCAGTGTGTGAGACTTCTAATGCAGGTCTCTAAATTTTTATTTCCTTCATCCTTGACTTTACACTGCAAAAAGTAATAGCCTTCCTCAGTTCTTGTCTGCCAGCCAGCATCCACCAACATCAGGGCTCGCTGCTCTACAGTGAAGTGAAGTCAGTGAATTTGTTCTGTGATTACAGAAGGATTTTCACTTGTTCCCATCAATTTATTTTGGACTATTGCTTGTGGTCCTTGAACATCAATCCAGTGCAGCTATTTCTGACCACTGCAGCCAACTGTGAAACCTAGGTGCTCTGCTAAATGAATTTTTGAAGTGTAGTGGGAGCATTTCTGCAGGCATTTGAGATGCTGAATTTTTTTTATACTAGTTGTGGAGACTTGGCATTGCTTAGGTTTTACACAGGAGGCGTTTGTCTGTGTGGGAGCACTTGCAAAGTTCGTGTTTGGGTAAGATGAAGGTTACCTGGACGCTGCTGGTCTTTAACCTTTGAGCAGTGGTGTGGGTAGGGCAGGCAGAGAGCATTCCAGCTCCTTGGACACTGCTAATATTTTGATACATTGAATCATCCAGATATTTCAAATTCCAAATGAAGGTCCCAAAATGGAGAGTGAGACAGGTAAAGATGTTTTCGGAGTTCTGCAGGGAGATGGGTATGAGACTAAAATTTACTTTATTTCTTTTATTCTGTTCTTTCTATATTTTTTCTCATCCCACACTGTATAATTGTTGGGGGTTTTTTTTCTGTTTCTTATAAAAATAATGGGGAGCTGTGGTCACTGGATGAAGAAGAGCGTTAACCTGTCCTGGCAGTGTTATGTTTGGCCAGTGTGTGAGGGTATGGTAACCTTCAGAGCTTGCTCTTTCCGTGAAACCTGAGATATGGCCAAAGTACTTCCCTAGTGAAAATGGAAAGAACTTTCCCTCTTAGACTAACTAAAAAGTAGCCTCATCTTATCTCCCAGCCCTAAATTTAATCTTTATTTTTCTGATTTTCTTTAAGGTCAATTCAGGTCTGTCTCCTTTTTCATTTGCGGTGGTACTGGTGGCCTGACCAGGAGAAGGTTGGAAGGGTCACAGTGTGACACACAGCCAGGCATCAAGTCATACATCCCCTCTGTCTTCCCACGTGCTCTAGTTTTATCTTGGTGGAAGGCAGGGAAGCATTGAGAATTGACTGAAGCCTTGAGGTATGTCAGCCAGGGCAAGGAAGTTGAGACAGTATCAGGATAAATATCTGAAAAGTAGCTTTGATCAAGTCCTCCCTAGTAGCCTGCGTGAAGCAGAGAGGAGGCTCATAGGCCTCAGGCTGATGGCTGGTACTGGTGCAGTTCCTGAAGCTGGTTCAAGTGTCATGATATTACAGGACGTACACTCGACTATCAGGTTTCTTTTAAAGTCTTATGTTCACAACCAGTTCCTTGTTGCTGTCTGTTTCTGTGATCTGGACCTGTCTTGTATTGCCATCTGCTCTGGATGAAACCCATTTGGCCACGCTCTTTGCTGAAGGTTATATTTGCTAGCAGTGCATGCAGATGGATGTCTGCTCTTTGGGATCAGTGATTCTCATTTCTGTCTGACCTCAATGGTCAGTGGGTATTGGCCCCATTTCATTTCCTATGATCCAGGCAGGGAGCTTGAGGAACTCACCGAAGGGCTTTGAGTTGTGTGATGCAGTAATAAGCCAATACTACCCTTCTCAATGCACAGCGTGACTGAGCAAGGTTCTTCTTTGGCTCATGCCAACAAAACACATGCTTAAAGTAGACTCGTCCCAGGCCACAGAGCTTTGGTAACACCTCTCAACTTGTTGAGCCATACTCAGGCCCCTAAACTTGTCCAGCTCTAGCAGATGAGTGTTTGATGCTGGTCCGGAGTGACCCCCCTAGCAGGCGTGATGAGACATTGTGTTTCCAAGGTAGGTGATTCCCTCCACATCAGTGCTTTGATCGCCGTTTGTAATTTTCTGAACCACACTCAAGCTATTTGGGCGTGATATTTATGAAGCTCTCAACTCTGTTAGTGAGAGACTGTCAGGCACTGAAGTGAGAAAGGGAGGTCATTCGGAAACCTGGGTGGACTAAATGATGTTGGCTGGAGTTAATAAGTGTCATCTGGCTGGGACAAGAGCCTAGGATTGTGATTGTCCCCTTTAGCCTCTGCCATGCACTGAGTGAGCACGTGAGTCTCATGTCCCACCAGGATCTCAAGCCAGGATAGTGAGGTTGGACGTTCACATACACTAGTTAAGAGCTTAAGTGTGTGACATTGTTCAAACATGCTAAAGCTTTCACCACTCCATCTTCCTTGTTATTATTTATCCCTGTTGGCTTGATCTAAGCTAGCATAAATTTAGTGACTTGTGGTAGTCATCTTTGCTTTTTGCTGTGTAGACAGAATCTGTGCTGGCTTCAGTTATGATTAAATCATCAGTATGCCTGGGTCAAAACGAAGACCAAAGTAACAAGCTATTGTTTACATCAATTTTTCAGTTGGAGTCAAATGTTTGTTGCCCATAGATTCCTTTTGGAATCCCAACCTCAGCCATTCACGTGTTCTTTGCTGCTTTCTGTTTCCTTGAAAACCTCCACTGGGAAGGCTGAGCTGCATAGCAATGAGAAACAAGTTGCTGTGACACTGTCTTATTTCTGGAGAGTGGAGGTGATTAATGGATTCTGCTTGCTGCTTGTGTCCCAATCATCCAGAAGCAAACCAGCCTGTTTGGCAGCACTCAAGCTGCTGAATGTGATGTGTACGTGCAGGGTGAGGGGCTCCAAGGTGCCAGAGAGGTGCTGGGACGAAAGGACTGTGTTCTAACACAGCCGGGACCTGACAGGGCCTGGGTGTTCCTTCTGGCAAAGAGAATGTCCCCAAGGACAAGCAGACACCCCTGTGTCATAAGTGCATCTCTTCTCCCTGAAGTAAGATAGACCTCATCTACATTAGGCCAGAACTGGCCTGTTGGAGTTACTACTTGTCCCAGCTGTTTGCAGAAGCATCTGTTGAAAAACCACTTTTGTTCTACCAGGAGTCTGTGGACGTTTTCCTTTGCAACGTCTTCTGAGGGCAGTGGAATTAAAGCAGGTGTAGATTGCGTTGTATTGTTCCTGCAAGCAAGGGTAGAAGCAAATTCAGTCAAGCTCACGTTCTCTTTCAAGGACAAGCATCTCCCTTCCTTCTTCACTCCTCCATGTGCTGCGTTGCCTTTCTTGGCTTTGCATCTTGCATTGTCTTTCTGGAGACTGAGTGTGGAGGGCTGATGCTCCTTGGGGCAGTCCTGTTTCTGCATGCATATGATGTCCCGTGGCATGATCAGAGGTGCTGATCTCTGTCTGCAGCAAAGGGTGGCCACGGGTTTGCAGTGAGCCTGTTTGCTAACTTGGCACTCAAGCAGTGATGCACCCATGGGAATGAAAGTGCAGGGCAGAAAGGGTGGAAGTCCTCCAGCAAAACGGGCTTATTGGAGCAGCTGTCAGCAGAGCAAAACTGCCTGGGAGGAGCTGCAATACAGCTGGAATGATTCCCTGCTGCCAGGCCTCTGGCAGAGCACGTGAGCTTGATAACAGCTTGGGCAGCAGTGCCTGTGTTGAATTAGTGGCGTGTGGCTGAAGTCTGCCTGTAACCTGGCTTGAAGGGGAAATGGGACCTGCTGTGTTTTGTCAAATCCCTGCCCAGCTGTTCAACTCTCTGCACAGCCTTGTTTTGACTGATGCCACCAGGTTCTGCAAAGCACCTTCCTGAATTACCACTTTATATATTTATTTTTTATATATCCATAATTAGCGATGCTATCATCGTAATTAAAATCCTCTTGGAAGCGTTTGTGCACATTTACATTTGAATTGACACATCCAAAATTGTAGCGATAATGAAAACAGCTTAAGCAGGGTGGGGGGAGATGGATTTTTTTTAAACCCCATCAAATATGAAAGAGAGTGTCAGCTATCAGGGACCTGTTAAAGTTTTAATTTGTCCCCTCTGCTTCGCTTTCCCTTTAATTTCTTCTCCTTTGCTAAACGGCATGTTCATGGCTGGCTGTATTTCTTGGTTTGTCACAATAAACCGTGCAGAGGAAGAAGATTCCTGCACTGGAAGAACGGAATTGTCTCCTCCCCTTTTGCCCTCGGGGCTTCCCTTTTCACATATACACTCATACCATTTTGAACATTATAAACCAACATAGCCCAGGGTTATTCCTGCCTGGCACGATGATTTCTGGGCCAAATACCATGCTGATGGAGGGGAGTGTTTATTCTGGGTGACTCTGGATTGAATCGAAGTGATGTGCACCTGTTTGCAATTCAAAGAAGTCATCAATAGCCTGCCATATTATTTTGGGGGGTGGCAGCAAGTGGTTAGACTCAAAATAGTGTCCTCTAGAATAGAGCCACAGGGAAAAAAGAGGCCTGATTGAGAGGGGAATGATAAATCGTTGAAGGCTGGCAGCCATTGCAGCTTGAGAAACGTTGAGGTCAGAGGTGCGATGGATTTTGCTATTCCGGAAACAAAGCTCCAAATAGCAATTTCACTGCCTTTTAATTTTCTTCATCCTCAAGTGCTGAATGTGGGAGTTGACAACAGATTGCTGTAAATAATGTAATTGGAAATCTCTGTGTTATGGAAAAGCAGATGAATGCAAATAACGAAGCTGAAGAGCGCTTGCTCTTTCTCCCTGCCAGTGGTTTGCCGCGTGCCAGAGCCGTGGTGTAGAACTGGGACAAAGTGAGTGTGTGGGCATGTGCTTCGTGAGGGCAATGGCAACAAAGTCCTCCTGGAGTGGTTGCATTTGTGGGTGCCTTTCTCTTCGTTAAGCGTCGTAGCCCACGAGAACCTGCTCCCCCGCCTTGCGGCTGCTGGGGGATTGAGCCAGTAATGCTGGAGTCAGCATGGGCAGCTCAAGGTAGCTGTTTTCCTCTTGCACAGCACAGCCCGGGCTGCTGCGAAGGAAGGAGGCTGTGAAATGAGAACAGCTAGTGCGTGGCAAGCAGTAGATGGTAGAGCAAAACGTGGCTTTCCAGCTAAGACCCTTCCTAAGCATCTCTGTTTGCGGGACTCGTGGCTTGGTGAAGTGAACTCTGGGAAGGCTGCAAATGTTTGTTATGATTCCTTCAGCTGTGACCACATCCCTTCGTCAGCAAGTCCTAATGTTTTTTCTGTTGAGGAGTTCGTTTTAGCACTTGTATGTTCAGAGAAGGAGAAAGAGAAGGGAGATATTTGAGCAGTAACGTGCATTTCGCCAGGGCCCAGTGATTCTCTGTTAGGTCCCATTTACAGGCTGCACTTGAATGTGCTAGATAAAAATACGCTTCTGACTGTCTCATCCTGTAGCTATGATGATGGCTTGATGCAACTTTAATAGGAATATTATCGGGGTTATAAGAAGCGTTGAGCTCTCTGGACTTGCCATGGCCGTTAAATTGGTTTGAAGTAATAAAAAAAGGAGGCCGTTGCTAAAGCAGCTCTTCTCCCCCGTGTCCTCCCCAACTTTGCTTTATGATAATTTAGGTGTTGGGGAGGCAGAAGGACAGGAGCCTGAAGAAAGTCAATAATTGGCATGGATTTTGGTTGTGTTTGGCTGGGCCAGTTTGAGCGCAGTGGGCTGGGGGCAGCTGCAGCTGGTGAACCATGGTGTGGCTGCTCTGTCCTGAGCCAAGCGCTGGTCCACCCCGTCCTCATCTGGGATAATGCAGATACAGATCTTTACTTCCCTCTGTCAAGCACTCAGAGCAAGGGATGAGCAAAAGTTGGGTTGTTGCAAGAGTCTGGCAGTGGCTGGCTGTCCCTCTTGCTGATGAAATTCCAGCTCCACTCAAACTCAGGCTGCCATGGGGCAGGGATTCACCTTACATGCCAAGAGGACTGGTGGAAGCAAAACTCCCTCCTCCTTGGAAACAGCAAACTCCTGCTAATAAACATGAGTTTTATTCTTGAAGCGCTGTTACAGATTTATTAATTTAAAATCAAGCAAGAACTTCGCTGTCGGGCCACTCTTGCGATCAATGAAACTACCATCAATAGCTGTCAGCAGCATCGATTTGTTTTGATGCATGGATGCTAAAACTAACCTGTGTGCCCATGTGCAGAACGGAACGTGAACCCTGGTCGTTTCAGCTGGGCACGCTGGCAGCCTGGGGGGAGCAGAGGTACTGAATTAATCTAGGGGAGAGCATCTTCCTGCGGCTGTTTTAGAGCTGATCTCAAAACAATTTCAGTACTACTGTAATGAGACCAGACTCTGTTAGAAGCACCAATTTAAAGTGAATATGTATGCATAGAATCAATTTTATATTAGTATTACTACATTATGCTGGGTGTATTATATCATTAACTCCTTCTATAACTGGACTTGCTCTGGGGTAGTGAGAAACCTGGAGGTGACCAGCCTTTTCTTACAGCAGTCCTTTCTGTGTCTGATTGGTTTTATGGCGTGCCTAAATTGTAGTTTGCCTGAAGATAATAGGTCTCTTCAGTGCTTCAAATTAAATTACAGATGTTGCAAGGTCTGTTCAGAGAATGACTGAAAGACTGTTCTGCCTGCAGTGTCCTGCACGTGCTGCTGTGCCTATCACCTCCTGCCTTCCTGAGACAAGGGAGACCAGGGTTTGGCCAGCCTGCAGCTCTTGCATTGTGTATATTTACCTGAGTGCAGTGGGCTAAGCTCTGTGTAGAGACATCTGTCCCAGATTTAAAAAATACATTGCATTTCCTGATTCTGGGGTTTGTGGAGATAGCAGAGCGCGTTCCTCCAGGGTCTCTGTGCTGCGCTGATGAGTGCTGTTGTACAAGCTGTACCAAATGCTTTGCAGTCCCTGTGTGCTAGAAGAGGGGACAGAAGGAGCTGTGTCAGTGTGTGCCTTGACTGGTTGGGTCACTGTTTTGGCTGTTTGCGTGCTGGGGAAGGAGCTGGTAAAGTGTCCTGCCTGCCAAGGACCCCTCTGTAGAAGAGGAACTTGCAGTCTTCTCCTTTGGGGAATTGGCTTCCCAGCTTTTCACTTGGATGGCAGCCTCACTGTCCTGCTGGGCTGTTACCCAGCAGAAAATCTTAGTGTAATTGCAGGGTGCTCTCACCTCCTTGTTACTAAATCCTGCTGTGGTGCACACGAGCTTCTCCCTTGCACTCTTACAGTAGCTGATGTGTGCACTGGGTTGCAGCAATGCTGTGCTTTCTTCTGCTGGGTGCTCTTCTTTTTAAAAGCATACTACCAGGTTCTCCTCTGAATTCAGGTCGCCTTCACGACCCCAAACACAGAGATTTTAGCTCTGTGTTGATGACTCAACTAGGAACCAGGCAACCTGCTGAGCAATCTCCTCCCATCAGGGAAATGGTGATGGTGGTGTCCTGCTCTTTGTGCCTGCATGAGAAGAACTTCTTGTGAGTGCCAGGTGTTGTCACTGCACTCTGCTTTGATTAAGCCCTAAATGCAAATTGCAAGCATATTGCTATAATGAGAGATATCTGTGTTTGCACCATTGTCATCATGGTGATACTATAGACAAAGTGCTTTGGGAACTTGGAGTGGAATCACTGATGATCTCCTTCACTCTGAAGAGAAGTTGCAAGGTTTCTACATCCCTGCATGAAACATAAAATGGTATTTTTACTATATTAACTTATTTTTGCCCTGTCTGTGTCATTAGCTCATTATTAGACTGCTGGAAGGCACAAAAAAATCAGGTTTTTAGAGGCCATTTCTCCTTGTCTGAGCTGCTATCCTTTTCCCATCCTCTGGCTCACAGCAGGCTTTATATTAAATATACTTAATAGAGCTCCTTCATCATAAGCTGCATTAAAACTAAATTGGAGAGTAGAGGGCATTCTTACAGGAGATATCGTTTAGTTCTGCAGGTTCAGGTTATTGAGTGTCGTTCTTCTTGTTCTGGGCTTTTCAAGCACACTCGTTAAATGATCTGACTTAGCCCGAATTGCTCTGTGAAACCAACACCAAGGTCGTGCCATTCGGGACTGCAGGAGACAGCGTTTCTGCTGCCCTGGCATTGCCGCCTGCATCCCTCAGCTACTGCTGGTCTTCGACTCTTTCAGAAGTAAAGCGACCCACTCTGAGGGACCT